CCATTCCTTTCTCTCTTTTATTTACCTACTTATAATGGTGGCATTATATTTACTTAGCATCTTCCATGAACCTGCATTCACTTGTTTTGCATACCTTGCATACATAAGGGTTCGGTTCATCATTCTAATAACATAGTCATTTATTACTTCCTTGACTACATGCTATATCGCATGTCTTGGATGGACTCATATGCCATGTTATTAACCGAACCTATTAGTAGCATTTTGTATGTGTTGCATTAGTCATGTTGCATATTTAGGGCCATGCATTTTTCTAATTATTTTATCTTCTTTGGCTCACCACGGAGTATTAGGTGAGCATTTATTGCTTTAGCATATTGCATGCGTGTGATTGTTGCCATGACATTAAAGTATGATTCCATGAGGCTAAGTGCTTAAGTGATATACTTGTTTGAATGCCGGTGAATCAAGGCCACTACTTAAATTGGAATAAATTGATTAATGTACATACAAACTCACTTTTTCAAGTGACGCGTATTCAAAACACATTTTCAAAACAAACATAACATCAATTTGTTCCAAATTTTTTAAAGTGGTCTATACTTGTGTGCATCACCTAGTAAAGTTAGCCTAATAATCGGAACAAGAGCATATAATGTAAATAAGAATCACATCAGGATTAGTAGAGGTCGATCTTTGATCGAGCGAGTGGGGTTCTTAATTCATGACATTCCCCTCTCGTACCTAAGTTCCCGAGCCGAGACACTTTGGTGATGATGGACTAATGGCCTTTGGCACGAGTCACAGGTTTCCTAAATTTTTCAAAAATATTTAGGTGGCGACTCTATAATCTGGCAAAGCAATCCATTTTTGGTATTTTGACTCAAAATCAATTTTCTAAAAGATTTGCCAGATTTGGACTCTTTTGTGTTTATCTCTTTCACATTGCACTTGTGAAATCAGATTCAGAACTACGGGAGTCCGAACTATAGGGTTATCGTATCCGAAAGGAGCATGAAAAGTCAAGCTACAATCATCCACAGGAAGTGTCGTGAAGCACTCACGACGCTTGTCTCTTAAGAACAATCTTGCAGCCCATACATACAGCTCATTATCCGGGGACACACCAGGGATGCTTTCTAATTTCGCCAAACATTCTGCAATTGAAGGATATCTTGATGAGGTTTGTGTTGAAGTTACTGAAGATGACCCTACCACATTGACTATAGCCTGTGCTGGTCTTCTCCATCTCAATCTCCAACTTCAGAAACCTCAGCCAAACATTATCCGTAGGAAGTGTCATGAAGCATTCACGACGCTTGTCTCTGAAGAACAATCTTGCAGCCTATACATACAGCTCATCATCCGGGGACACACCAGGGATGTTTTCCAACTTCGCCAAACATTTTGCAATTGAAAGATATTTTGATGAGCTTTGTGTTCAAGTTACTGAAGAGGACTTAACCACGTTGACTATACGATCAAGTGTTTTGTTAAGTAGAATTGCACCAGAAACTTTCTTTTTTGCCTTGCTCTAGTTTGATGAACCATCAGTGTCTGATGGACATTTTTTGTTTAAATTAGAAGGATGAACCACCTCCAAATCAACATCATCATGAAATTCAGCATCATGTGGGGTATGAAATTCCTCCGTGTTAGGCATAACCCCTGAGCTAGGGGTGTATGCCCATTCTCCTGTAGCAGCTGCATCTGAGAATAGTATGCCTAGGTCTTCAGTGAATTACAATGGCATACACCGAAGTTTAGTAGCATCAGGATAGCTCTGCAACAATTACAAAGGAAAATTTAACAATTTGGCCTATTTAAAATTTGGTATGTTAAAAAAAAAAAAAAACATAATATGTATATTAATCAATTCACTTACCTCCAATTTATTGGTCCACCACTTATCAGATACAAGAATAGCTCCAGTCAATATATCACGACCTAAGCCTGTCTCACTCCTTAAAACATAATTCCATAAAAGCCAATCTTTTTTCAAAACATCCCAATGATTTTTCATTTGTACTCATTGGTATGCTTTTCTAGTCATAGTTTTAAACTTTGTTATGACATTTTCCCACGCAACCCTATCTAAGTGTGTACCAGGTTTGTGTCCATCCTTCACTTGCTCAACACAGAGCTTAATAAAAATTTCATTTGATTTTGCATCCCAATGAGCCTTAACAGATGGTACTTGAGAGAATTTTCCTTATTCTTCCTATTTTCAGATTGTGTTTCCTCTTGCGTACTCATTCTATGAAAGAAAAAAAATTCTTTAACACATACCTATTCATTATTGCTTGCATTAAAACATAAGATTAGTACAAAATAACCACATATGGCAACTAGGATAGACGTATCAACATTCATTGGGTACATAGCTTAGCACAAAAACAACTAATCTAAAAGCCACCTACAATCATTTGAGGAGTAATGCAACTGACAGAAAAATACAAATTGTGAACAAACCCACAAGAAGCAACTTCATGAATGTTAAGGATTGCTCAATCATTTGGTTCTTGACTTTTAGTCCTGCAGTCTCGATGTTTTGATTTTGAATAACCATTCTCTAATTCCTCTGCCTCTCTACCATCATCACAAATTTTAGGGTACACCACCTCCAAAAATGACAATTTCTCGTCTCACAAATGACGTACATTCTCCCTTTAGATAGGTTGTCAGACTCGGTAACTCTTATGGCAGCTCTTACACCACAATCACATTTCAAAGTCTCATATCTCAAGTCCAAAGGTCTCAGCACTGGAAGAATAGTTACTAGAGGATGACACGCCTTTGCATTAATTAGGAAGAATTGAATCCAAATCCTCTAAAATTGACTGGGAAGTTAATTGTATAATACATTTCATTTGGTCATTTTCTCATTCAACTTTTATGAAAAATGATTGAGATAATACTTGTCATACAACTGCAAGCACACACCTTACATATGAACCCAGAAAAGACCAAAACAATAATACCCATCATCAGAAATGAAGTTAAATGAAGTTAAATAAAAGTTCATCTTCACCCTACACCCATCTCTCGAATTTGTTAATTCCTACACCCATCCTCACCCTTCACAGCATCTAATGAACTAAACATTAATTCATTATCATACCTAAACATTAATTCCTAAACATTTTCATACCAGATTTGTTCAAAATATCACTACAGTCAACATATAACAATTAATTCAAAATATAAACTAAAGTCCATAGTTTGCAATAAGACAGGAATTCATTAATTCATTATAAACTAAAGTCATCTACCATAACAAACAACATAGTTTGAAATGAGACAAAATATAAACATTAATTCATATCACCAATGAACTAACTAAAGTCTATAGTTTGAAATGAGACAAAGGAATTCAATAAAAATACAAAAATAATCAATAACTTGCATATATTGTGCACTTTGGTCTTAAATTCTCATCAAGACAGTTAAACAAACACCATGCATATGTTGTGAACAATCAGTTTAGTTGCAAAGACAGTCAAACAAAAACAAACCCACTTATCAGCACACCCAAAATTTTTAACCATTTCGTTAGCACCCAAAACAAAGAACCCCAACTTTAGTCAAAGAAATGAAATTACAGAAGCAAAATTTCTGGTAATTAACTTCTTATCAAAACAATCAAAAACAAAACATTGAACTACCTACTTAGTTACTGAAAAAAATTAAGACAATTGCAGTGCAAAATTGTCAAGATTTCCTTCAAATTCTCGGCAACCAAACGGAAAATAAACAAATTGAAAGATAGGCAAGAAGAAACACCAAAGAAAGAAAAGAAAAGAAACCTGAATTCCTGGAGAAGAATAGGGATTCTGAGAAGGGAAAGCAAGAACCCTAGAATTTTTTTTCTTGTATTGTTTTGTTTTATTTAAATTCTTGCAAAATATGGAGGGGTATTTGGGGGGTGGGTAAGACTAGGAAGAGAAGGTAACAAAATGTGACGGAGAGCCCTTCGTACATTTTTGGTGCAGATCAACGAAAAACAAGGGTCCAAACTGAACGATCGGCTGCGATCTTGGAGATGTGGAGGAGTTCGTTGTTGATCGCCAAGAGGAAATGAGAAGAGGAGAGGAGAGTGTGAGAGGAGAGGAGCGTGTTAGAGCAACATAGAAGAGGATTTATATAATGGCATTTTCATAATTTTTGAAGTTTTGGAGGGACATTTAAGTCATTTCAGCCCCCCTTACCAGCTGCGTACATCAGTTGTTTCAAATAAGCACCCCCCGAGCTACTTTGATCCCGAAGCTGAAAATACCTTCAAATAAGCTATAATATGATAATTTAAGTTGCACCAAACATAATATTATAGCTTAAATTAAGTTAAAAGCTGAAATAAGCAGTTTTTAAGCTGCACCAAACAGGCACATTATGTGCCCACACGCTTATGACATATATGGGTTATTGGAATCGGTGGGTCTGACATTAAGCAGTTGTCTATACGATTAGCAAGCCATTGATTCACAGATTGAATTCTGTGTATACCATCAAAAGTAGGGTATTTCAAACCTACAAATAATGTAAAGAGAAAGCAATATAAGAAAATTGAAATACGAGGATTACCTTAAATAAATAAATAAGCCTAGATTAGAATAATGGCATAAAAAATGATAGTTATAAATCATTTTGTAGCATGAAAACATCTAAAACGCCATTTGATTATCCATGATTTATTTTGACAAGAGCTATTTGTATTTCAATATTAATGGAACTTTGTTATTTTTTAATATGTAAGTAGTCGTCTATAGTTAAGAGAATAAGTTGAAAATATTATGGAAAAACGAGTAGTAACATAAAAAAAATTGTAATATAGATTGAAAATGGTAAAGTTGATGAAGACGATAATGATAATTACCTAGTTTAGTGTAAGTGGTAAGCAATTCATGCATTGGGGTGTAAAGATCCACATATTTTAAGGCAGCTTCTGGAAGCTCTACCTTTAGTTTGTTCACCTTTTCTTTGAGTTGTCTATTGTATTCATTGGACATTTCATTCATAAAGGTATAACATTTGTTTTGATCTTAAGTCCTAGGCAATTCCCCAATCAATCTGCTAGCAAATCCGAAACAATCAATTGGGGCTGTGTTATGTATCCAGAATGCCCTTGCCCCTTGTTGATACAAAACCTGCAATATATAGTAGAAGAAGTGCATTCACACATATTGTTATTTTAGGCAATGACCCAAAACAACAATGTCTATACATAACATTTTAATTTTATCAATTCCAATTGTAATTAAATATAGTACAACTTACTTTCACTGCTGCAGCAAATTTGTTAATTATATTTGGAATTTGAGCTCTAACATCAAGTTTTATTATATAGCAAAGGGTAAGATCATTTTGACCGATATCAAGAGTGTAAAGAGCATCGGGTTTGGGGAGTCTACTTGTATTTGTTTGCTTAGCTGAAAGATAATTGAAACTATCATGTGTCAAATATTAGTGAAACAAACTTTTAATTTGGTAGACAAAATTCAATAAAGTAATTATATCCGCATAACATTGTTGTATTTATAAATATGGCCACCGCAATTACCTTGTTTATAAACATCGTTACTTTGCAATTTGAGCTCACCAAATTGCTTGATCTGAATTCCAATATCGAAGGGGTTACCATTAGGGTATTGTTGGGGAGTAATAGACGCGCCTGGTGATGCAAAGTTGGCACCATATTGAAAATTTGTTGTGTTTAGATTTTGATATGCATTCACATATGGTAGTCTCAAATAATCAGCTGCTTGACATAAAATAACGAGATTAAGTTATGCATTTCTATTTTAAGTAGTGTCTAATTATGATAAATATTCATGCATATACTTGAAACTAGAGTAAAAAAAATGTTTATATTTTTATACCCATAAATTCTATAAGGAGACGCCCGACATCAGGATATCTATTAGAGCCTGTAGCTGAGTTTGAGTCACCAAAATCGTAAATTCCTGGGAAATTGCATGGTGGCAAACTAGTCATGTCCATTGCTCCAACATCAATATTGAAAAGTACCAATGGCACTAAGATCTGAATTAGCATCAACATTTTGATGAGCTCTATTGTTTTCTTTTTGCAAGATTAATTAAGAGAAAATGTTAATACTTCATATGTTTTAGCATATTTTCATGTATTTATAGGAATAGATCCAGAATGCTTAAGAAAATATATTCCATTATTAGAAAAGAACGTAGAAAGCATGTTTACGATAGTTATATGTTGTCAGATAACCATTTTTTGCTTTCACTCTCTATTTCAAGCGAGTTTAACTTTGACTGTATTGTTGTTATTTTGAGAAAGGAAAATAAAAAAATAATAGCAATATTCGAACTTTTTTTTTTCCGATCTACCACCAGAAAAAGAAAAAAAAAGTTTTGATCATGTAAAATATTCATTATAAAGCTTCCAGTGAAAAAAAATAAAAGCTTCAAATCGAACATAATAAAAATGTAAACCTGTGTTGTCAAGTGTTTGGTTTTATTTGACTTTTATATATGAAAATTAATGCTTTGGTTTTGATGTTGTTTGCTGGGTTGTGATGCTTCACTACTTTTTGATGACAAAAATGGGAAAAAGAATCACTTTGACATTCTTGTTCTTTTCTACTTCTTGAATTGATGATGTTCTTTAGTAGTCATGCAATTAATTATTTATAACAAATCAACCACGATCATTTTGATATTCTTTATTACATGTTTGTAATAAAAAATTTACATTGCAAATCTAATAATTATGAAATAGGAATGTAAATTTATAATTATTTTCAATTAAGAAAATATTATTATAATTACCGTTGGATGGTATAATTTCATTATAAATATGCAATGGAGAGAATCATAAATCCAAACACACAAGCCAATTTTCTTTCCTAATAATCATCTTGTAAGGGTTTCTTGATAATTATTAATACTTCCTCCACTATTAAGTTTCTTGTAGGATCACTCTATATTGTTCTTCTTTATGTTCAACTCTGTCTCTCTAAATGCACCAATTCTAATCTCTTTTTTTTCTCATTCGCCACAAACATTAATTGCTTAGTAAAAATAAAAATAAAAATAAAAAGCAAAGTCTTTAAGAAAGAACTCATAATCTCTCAAACCACATTACTACTATTAAATTCGCATCTCTTCTGTAGTCCTATCAAAACTCATTCTTGTTTGCTAACTAAACAATTTAGATGGTCATTGGAAAAATTCAACTTTTCGACCCAATTTATCATCCAGATAACTCTGAACAAAACATCTTCCTACAACCCTTCGTTTGCTCCAATTATGCAAAATAGGTAGTGAAACTCATTGCTTTATTTAATTTATGAAACAATAGAGAAGAGAGGACAAAATTGTTAGTAGTTTGCTTTAAGGGTCCATTTGTTTTTAGAGGTACATTGGGTGAGATTGTTAGTGAGAGAATTATTAGTGAGGAGACTGTTAATGAGGGGACTAAGAAAATTTGTGTTTGTTTGATAACTAGTGAACTAGCAATAATTCTTGTTTATTTTGAAAGATAGGAGTGGGATTAACTAGTAAAATTCCATAAATACCCTTATTACATTATTATCAAATTTGGACATTGTTAGTGAGTGGATTATGAAAATTTGTGTTTATTTGTGATATATTTTAATATTAAAAATTATGTTTTATAAAAATATTATTATATTAAATTATTTTTATAAATATTATTATATTAAATTATTTTTATAAAAGGGCGGAAGAAGTAATAATTAGAGAACCAAAAGAAAACAAATTAGCCCAGTCCATGGTTTTAAACATTGCATTGAAAGATTTTATTCACTAAAATATTGGTTCATTCATCATCATCTTTGCCTTCTCTGTTAAAAAACAAAAACAGAGCTTTGCCTTTATCCATCAGCACCGCAACGACAATGATGACGCCGATTTTCACTGTCAACGACGACGACGACGATGACGCAACGACGCCGATCATCACCATCATTCACTGCAACGACGCCGATCATCACCGTCAACAACGATGATGCCGATCTTCACTATCAACATAATTTTGTTTTTCTTGCAAATTTCAATTTTGTATATCATGTATGTCTTTTGATTTGTATCTCTTTTATCTGATTTAGTCGAAGATCGGAGCATCACTCTTCAAATTTACTGATCTAATTTGCAATTTGTCTACACTTTTGTTTGGTTGGCGAGAAAACCAAATGAAATATGCATATATATATATGATAAGAGAACACACACACACACACACACACACACAGGGTAAACAGGTAAATCACTCCCCTAATACCAACGGACTAATTTTCAATACCAAATGTTGGGATAGACTAAATATCCCAATGTGCAAGGCCCATCTGAAGCCCTCTGGCTTATGAATCTATTCCGCAAATCTGCAAACAAACAGGAGGTATGTGTGGACGCGCCCTCGGGCTTCATGCTACCACAGTTCGGACTCATTATGTCACGGTTCTGAATCTAATCCCGCAAAGTGCAATGCGAGATTGATAAATCACCAAAGAGTCCGAATCCGGCAAATCATTTTTGGAAAACAGATTTTTAAGAAAGAAGTGTCAAACATGGACTGCTTTGCCAGATACAGAGTCGCCACCTAAATATTTATTTTGGGGGAATTTAGGAAACCCTGACTCGTTGCCTAAGGCCACGTGTCCGTCATCATCAAAGTTGCCTCGGCTCGGGAACTTGGGTACGATTGGGAAATGTCATCTATGAGCACCCTCGCTCGCCCGATCAAAGATCGGCCTGTACTAAACATGATATCTTGTTTTTGAAAACACATGTGTTCTTATTCCGGTTAATTAGTTAATCTTACTACGTGATGCGCACAACACATAAGTATAGACTAGATCGCTTAATTTGGAATAAAGCATCGCACATCCGTTTGTTTGGAAAATGATTTGAAGTTTGCTACTCGCAAGTATGCTAAAAAAAAATACGGATTTCAATGAATTAGTCCAATTCGGGTAATCCAACCTTCACCCACAGGCATTCAGGCAGTTATATCATGTAAGCACTTAGCCTCATGGCAAGCATGCTATCATGGCAGTCACTCACACGCATGCAGGGATGCTAAAGCATAAACACTTACCGAGTATTCCGAGCCAAAACACAAAACATGTTAGTAATCAATGTATGATCCAAGTCCATGTTAGAATAGCTAATGTATCGCATACAAAATGTAACTAGAATAGGCTCGGCTAATCTAAAGATGGCATGTGAAATGCAACAACTCGATGCACGTATTCAAGTTGGAATTGAAATACTATGCAGTTAGCATGATGCGCCGAGCCTGGTGCATGCAATACAGATGAATGATGCAAACATGCATAGCATAAGGATGCTAATTGAAACATGTCCTAGAACTAACCATCGTAAGCGGTTTAAGTAAAAGGGAGAAAGAAGTGGAGGTTGGAAGACATGCACCACACACACGCACGCTTATTACACACTGCGCCCTCTCGAGGGAGGGACCGAAAGAATAATACAAATTACTTAACTAACAAGCTAATTAAATATTACACAATACTTAATTAATTAAATGAATTAATTAAGCTTAGAAAGCAGTAAAGAGGCCTCGGGAAGAGGGATGAATGCGTGTACGCTCAGCTCCGCTCGAAAATCCATCGCCATACTCATGCTGTCTCTGTTTACACTGATCTGTACTTCTGAAAACTTCACAAGTCCCAAGGAAGCTTCAGAATCACTCCCTGAGCACTGTGGGATGTCATAGACCAAGAGGTGAGGCCATTTTTTTTTTTTCCCTTTCTAGGTTGCTCCATTTTCCCTCTTAATTTCTCATTCCAATTGCTTTTTCTTTTTTCTTTTTTTCCCCTGAACATCTTGGTTTTGAATTCTGACTGGATAAACATTCATCAGCCATTTGATATAAAGTTCTAGTTGTCTTAGCAGTCTTGGGCAATGTTGCTTCATGTTCTTTTTGTTTCCTAGTATGGTTTGTAATTCTCATTTCCATTTGATGCCTGTGCATTGATGGATCTGATTCTCATTTTCCATATTGGAAGTGATGTGATCTTCTGAAGTTCTAGTTGCTTCTGCAATGCTATGATCTTCTTCTTTTGGTGCCTTGTACTGTATCTAATTACAAATTCATGGTGTTTCTCCTGTTAGTCTTGGTGAACCCGTGACTTTTCTATATATTCCTTGGTAACAGCTGTCCTTCTTGTGTGCCAATTTTCAATTTATGTGATTGATGGCTATCTGGTTTACACATTGAATCTGTGTTCAATCTTCTCATTCTACTTATAGAAGTTCTCTTCCAATGGGTCAATGCACATGGATTAATTGGTCTTCTGACCTTTCACACTTTTCTATATTGCTACTTTTGACTACTCAAGTTGAGTGTTCTTTCACAATTTCTTGTATGCTTACAGCAATCACTGTCTAATAAGGGAAAGAAAAATTCTGTTTGTTATTTGATTTCTAAAGGCTTGGGTCAATTAATTGGCGATGTTTATTGATGTTGATTTTCCATGATGCATTGGAAGCTATCAGAATATTTTTAATGAGATGTCAAACTTTCATGATTGATTTTATAGCAAAGAATGCTAGATTTATTATAGAGTATATTTTTATTATTTAATGAAAATTTATGAATCTCTGCAGACCACTGGAAAATGAAAGGATGCGGGATGAATTGGAGAAAGCTGTAAATATCATATGGAACTGTCGGCTACCATCACCAAGAGTAAGTAAAGCCATTTACTTATTTTTTATTCTCATCATCCCACCTTTCAACATTTATTTTATTTTCAACTACCAAACAGTGTGTTGCAATAGATGCTGTTGTTGAGCTTGATTTGGTCTCTGCTCTACAAGTGTCCATCTTCCCAGAGCTTATCTTCACTAAAGCTGGAAAGATCTTATACTGTGAGAAAGGTAAATTTTCTAGTAAATAAATTATATTCTTGACACAGCCTCAGCCTTGAATCATAATAATTGTATTATATTTGATTTTTTTCCTGGTATTCAGCGATTCAAACAGCAGATGAGTTGTCAAAAATAATGGCATTCTTTTATTACAGAAGCAGCCAAACTGCCTAGCTTGAATACCGTTGGAATAAGTGAAGAACCAGTCCCTACCATTTGAATCAACAGCGAATAGTGTCAGAATAAAAGTGTACATAACTATATATATATATATATATGTGTATGCTATGGTTTAGAGAATGAGTTTCTGGGCTAGCGATGCTATGTTTACCATGTTGTTCCCCATACAGATCAATGGACACCATGAAAATTTAGCTCATATGTACATTCTAGGGAAGATTTATAACTACATTTAGCAATTGTTTGTTAATTCCAGTGTGAAAACTGAAAATTTTGTTATTTATGAACAAGATGAATATGGAGTTTCTTTTTTTTTTTTTTTTTTTTTTTTGTGTCCTGTTCTTTTTTCTTCTCTCAAATAGTTTGTGTCCTGTTCTTTAATCCTTGATTTTGGTACCAATATAAATACTAGCTTGTTGCACTCATTACACAACCAATTGGTGTATGGAGAGGGCTGACATGAAAGGAAATTTCTCAGGGCATGTGTATTCCTTGATTTTAGACATTTTCAATATGTTGTGCAGAGTTTCTAGTACTCTTTGAGAGACACAGGGGCTTATGAGTTCATGTCAATTTAGGCATTTATAGCTTTGAAAATCCAAGAGGGGATTCGTAGTTTAGCTACCAACTTGGCATTGGAACATTGGTGGTCGCCCCCCTAATGAACACTTCATCAAGTGTGACCTGTGCAAATGTGTTCCACGTGGAGTTCCATACACAGTGACAATTAATTTGTAGAGTTTATGCAAGCTATAATCCACACAACTCATGACACAAGTAAAAAGACTTTAAAATTAACATTCTCACAAATAATTATCCACAGAAATTGAATTTCAAATCATCTCAAACAATAAAAGGCACAAAAACTGGTCATATGGCATGCTAGAGCTCCCAATATCCACCGCGACGAACATTATTACACACTGAGAAATATGGTCTACATTTAATCTTTATTTTGTAGAAAAGAAACTAACATAGCAGAGTTGGATAACAGAACAATTGACTTGATCCACCTCCTATTAGATAATCTCATACCCATGAACAACCCAAAACCTTCCCACCAACAAAGCATCCGATGCCACAGCTACTTCAATACTAGCAGCAGCCATCGTGACCCAAAGAGCATGGCAGCACCTGCTATTACAAAAGCAATAATATTACCTCCAATGACACAGAAAAACAAAAGAAAGCAAAACCCTATAAAGATGAAACGTACAATTTCTGAATCATGGAGGACTCAATGAGCTCTAAAAATCCCGGATGTACACGCCACACTGTCATAGGTAACCACAAATTCATACCATCAGTAGTATAGAAAGTAAACTTTAGATATTTATGGCCATTTTGAAGCAAAACCAATCCGAATAGACCATCTTAGATAGGTCAGGTGAAAAATAAATAAATGATTTATGTTCTTCAAACATAATTAGGTTCAAAAAAACAAATGATTTGCCTTCTTCAAATAATTTGTTACATTAATTTGTCATGCTTGTATATGAACTAGCTGAAGGTTAGATATGCTGACCACCATTTCGTAACGATTGTTCTCACAAATTATGTATATATACATCATTGATGAAACAAAGGTAAGACCATGAGAGCTATAAAAAAGTTAAAGAAGCAGTCGACCATATTGATGGAAAGGAGCTTGGAAGAAGAACATTTAGCTCAGATTTTGCTAGGCCAGGTTTAGAACTGAATAAACCAACCATTAGATGAATTCTTTCAATTCAAGTAGTTCAAATACACTTGAATGTGAAAATTTTCTTTGGGCCAGCTTTCTTTAAAAAATGCAAAAAACAATTCAAAGAAAATATGTAACTATTTTTAACCAATAATGGTGATTGACAATGAAAATTGAAGTTCAAATTATGAATCATGCAAAACATGTCAAGCCTGATCAATTTTATGACAAATGTTTGTCACGAGAGGTACTATTCATCACACAAGTCCTGGTGCATGATTACACCCAATGTCTTATGATAGGTTTATTTCGCCATAAAATATCATGGTTAATACTATTTCACGTATATATCAAGTCTCATTATTTTCATACACATTGAATATTTTTGTTCTCTTTCTCTCTCTACATACATATATGTATATATATACCTATATATATATATGTTATGGGTGAGCAATTGATCAAAATTAAGGTTCAAAGTTCAGGTTTGGGGTTATTATTTTTGTTATATTCAATCCTGGTCTTCTTTTATTCTTGAATAAGGATAAAAGACAATTTAGTCCCTAAAGTATGCGATGTTTTTTATTTTAATCCCTTAAGTTTCAATTTTGTCATTTTCGTGCTTAAAATTGTCAATTTGAGTCAATTTAGTCATAGGTCTAACGTCCGTCCATATTGATAACAGGAATGTGAATAAAATATAGTTTTGGTCCCTAAAATATTTGTTTATTGTCATTCTAGTTCCTCAAGTTTTAAATTTTGTCATTTTAGTTATCAAAGTTGTCAATTTGGTTAATAGCTTAAATTAACAACTTTGAGAACCAAAATGACAAATTTTAAAACTTGAGAGACTAATATGACAAGAAATGGACACTTTAGGGACCAAAGTTGTCTTTTACCGAAAGATAAAATATTTTTCCCATTATCAATGTAAACAAACGTTAGAGATAGAACTAAATTGACCCAAATTGATAGCTTTGAGGACCAAAATGACAAAATTGAAGGTTGGGAGATTAAAATTGTCTTTTATCCCTTGAATAATGATACACAACCATAATTTGTATACAAGAAATCTATATATAATGGTATGTTACATTTATATCCACTCATTAAAAACAAAATTTTCATTATTATAATTCATAATTGTAAGAGTATTGTTGTCACATCATTTATGTTTAATCTTATACGAAAATTATATATATGAATATTATTTTTCTGTATTTTTTTTCTTTTTAAAGTTTACTCTATAATTAATTCTTCATTAATATTTTTGTTGGAAAAAATGTTTTAGTGATAACCAAACATCCAAAAATAAAAATAAAAATAAAAATAAAAATTTCTTTTTGGACAAAATTACCTTACATGAAAAATATTTTATAACAGAACAAATGGAGCCTTATTGTTGAAATCTCAATCATTTTGAGATTAATTTGTTTAACAACTTCAACGAATTGGAGAAAATATACAAATTCAAATTTAGATACTAAACAAATTAAGCTGAATGTTAATTTATTATTTGGTGAATTTTTTTTTTTAAAAATTATTTATTTATAAATGGGTTACCCCTTGACTAGTAATACAATGAGCAAAAGAAGAATCATATACCTCAATAGTGATTTCTGGTATGTGTGCAATCTTATACCAATCCTCCCCCTTTCCCTTCTCACATCGCCTTTCCAGTTCACAGCAGTTGATAATGTGCAATGATTGGAGAGATTCAAGGCCTCGTAGCCCTTCCTCTGGCAAAGACTCGAGCTTTGGACATCGTTGGATCTTCAATGACTTCAATGTGACAAGGCTTGTAAGGTCTCCAGGCAACACTTTAAGCTCAAGACAATTCCCAATCACTAGTGACTCAAGAAGAGTAAGGTTCCTCAGAAACTCTTTTGGAAAACAAACCGTCTTGTCATCAAAACCAATAGAGAGGGAAGTGAGACTATTAAGATTTGATATTGAATTTAGTCCCATGGTGCACTCGCCAACCAACGACAATTTTTTGGGAGCCGAAAGATGCGGGAAGCTCAATTTAGGACAATGAGCAATATCTATCACACGAAGACGAGAGAACAACTCTCTTCCCTCCTCCCTTGACAAAGCTTCCAATTTCGGACAATAGGAAACTGTGAGTTCTTCCAAAGATGGGAATCCTCCACTGCCAGGATATTCATTTTCAATACACTCTACTTCTTCCATTTCATCAATTTTAAGACTTTGTAGCAAAGGTAGTTGTCCAAGCGGTGGAAGTTGTAAGCAGTTGTTGCACCTGGAGAGCTGGATATTAACTACATTTTGAAGATCTGAACCCCTCATCCAGAGCGGGAATTGAGTACCTTTGTACCCTGTTACGACCAACTCCTTTAGGTTTGGATGAGGTTGAAGGGCTTCAAGTACTAGCTCAGATTCAACATTTTCCTGTGATTCACATTCCGCCAAACCATATTCCCAATTTAGTTGCAACTGACTAAGATTTTGCTTTCCCACTAAATTGGCTTCTTTTGCATCCATCGGATTTCTCACTCTCTCAAGGTGCCGGATACGAAGTTCTCCTTGAAGGTTTAAGCATTTCAATTCAGCTAGGAGACTACAATCAGTGCTCTTACCCACAACAAATTCATTTAATGTCTTCAGGTTAGTTAGCTGCCCAATTTTTGGGGGCATCTCAATTAACCGATACCCTGACAGAAAAAGATGTCGGAGACTTCTCAGGTACCTCATGTTCTGGGGCAATCTCTCAAGTTGGAGACAGCATTCTAGAATTAATGTTTGCAAACTCAAGAGATTACAAATTGAATCAGGAAGTCGCTTGAAACCAGACTGGGAAAGGTTCAAATACCTCAGATGTTTTGAGTTGCCAATTGCAGGTGGCAACTCTGCCACTATGGCTGGTGCATCAAAAGCTCGCAGTGAACCAAACTTTCTGAAATGACAGAAAAATAAGTCATCTACTAAGAAGTAATTTGATCGTAGTCGTAATGTCCGCAAGGATACAACTTTGTGAAATGTGTTATGAAAATTTTCCTGACGGACAACCAATGTTACATGACGAGCTTTTCCGTTGTATATATTACTTGAACTGTTAAACTCGATCATTTGACATTCACCCTTCATAATTGATTGGGCAAGATCATGCACAAGATCATGCATCTCGAAACATATATCACTTCTGTAGTCCTTCACCTCTTGGAAAAAAGATATCAAACATAATTCATTCCAAATCTGATCACCAATATCTTCCGGTTCCCATCCTCCTTTGCATGAAATATAGCCATTAGCCATCCATAGATGAATTAGGTCTCTCTTTCGATTTCGAGAACCCTTTGGGAAAATGGCACAATAAGCAAAACATTGTCTTGATTCCAATGGAAGATAAAAGTAACT